GAATTTTTATCCCTCTTAGGGACCACTCAGGGACTGACATCTAGCCATCACCCTCAGACAGATGGACAAGCGGAACGCTGCCAGTCGGTACTTGAGCAATATTTGAGATGTTTTTTAAATTTCCAACAGAGTGATTGGACGGACTTACTTCCTTTTGCAGAAGTTGCCTACAATAATGCAGTCCACTCCAGCACAGGCTACACTCCTTTTCAAATAGCCAACGGCCAAAGTTTCAACCCTATGCCAGAGTTAACCCCAAAAGAACCAACGATCCCTTCACTGAAAGAATGGATGGAAAACCTACAAAACACCTGGCCAATAGTCAGAAAATCACTAGATGAAGCTAGGCGGGCATACAAAGCACAAGCCGATAAAAAAAGGGTTGAGCCTACACCATTCATTATAGGAGAAATGGTGTACTTATCTACAAAATACCTAAAGTCCCTACAGCCCTGTAAAAAACTTGGACCAAAATATATAGGACCTTTTCCAATTAAAAGGATCATAAATCCAGTAACAGTAGAATTAGAATTACCCAAAAACCTCAGGCAAATACACCCAATTTTTCATTGCAGCTTGCTGAAAAGAGAGCATCAGTCACCTCTACGGCCAAAAATCCCCCCCCCACCACCTCCAATCATGGTGGAGGGGGAACAACACTTCGAAATAAAAGAGATCCTTGACTCTAGGAGATATCGTGGAACAACTCAGTACCTAGTTGCCTGGAAACACCTCCCTGCCTCACAAAATGAGTGGGTCCATAAACGTCACGTCAGAGCCCCGAAGCTATTGAAGAAGTTTCACACAGAGTATCCTAACAAGCCTAACTAAATTTTTTACTTGTGTTTTCTTTCAGGTGGATCTCTCTTATTGTTAAGAGGGGCCGGATGTCAGAATCCAATTATATTTCATCTTTAATTATCAAACATAGAAACTCCCAATTCTGCCTTCTCTGGATTCTGCCATAAGAGGGAGAAAAGGGGGAGAGCAAAGGGGCTTTATGGCCCTCACTTCCTTCAGCACACTTCAAAGGACTGAATGTGTGTTTATTGTGGCCTCTAAGCTTTAACATATCAAAGAAGAGTAATTGCCTTTCATGTAGTTATCTGAAGTCTCCATCCAGACGGAAGAAGAAAGGGGATGGAATTGTGATACTTGAAACTATCACTGGAAGGGGGGTTGATTGGGTGGGACTACTGGGGAACCCCTTAAAACCTTGAATGGGAGAGCTTGAACCCCAAGTCCTGTCTAGCATGCCTGCAACCATTTTCTCTTAATAAAGGATTCCTGTTGGAAGAGCTATTCCAAGAGTTCTGTCTTCTTAAGATGCAAAGTGGGGTGGGTCCTTACAGGGGCATTACAAAGTGAAGGAGGGCCAACTTTCTATTATTTCATGGTGAAACTTTGTCCATGCTTGGCAACTATTGTTTAGGCTGCTTTTGAACATGGACTTAGTGCTTTTTCCAAAACAGCTCTCTTCCAGAATATCTCATGCCTAAAAGGAGTTCAACTATCAAATGGTATTAGCTCAAGTTGGGCTCCTTTTGAACATGTCCGTGCAAAACACTTACCCCCCAAACAGAGTAAGTTTTCACAGTTGGCTGAACTGCCAATCTGTCACAATTTGTTTGCTCCATAGCCCCATCCTACATTATGGAGAACAGACCAATGGCTGGCCTGCAACAAGCTAGGTACTATCCAGGGGGGCAGCAACTTTTATACCAATGTATAGTTTTATGCTGGTTCAAGGACTGGTGAATAGCATTTTAACTCAGCCATGAGGAAGAAACTTCAGTCTCTATTGCAGGGGTCTCCAAACTTGACAGCTTTAAGACTTGTGGACTTCAATTCCCAGAATTCCTCAGCCAGCCATGCTGTTTGAATGAGTCATTTCTGGGAGTGATGGAAATTGATTGTCTTTCTCCTTCATCCCTTACTCACTCTCTTAATGCAACATGTTCTTCAAGCTGTCTTTGTTGTATCCCTTCCCCATCACTAGGCCCCCAGAGGGCTCCATCAAGCCCAGTTTGCTGCTACAATCTTCTTCTGATCTGGATCATAACAACGGCACTTCCTGTTTTGGGAAGGTCAGGGGGCCAGCAGTAAATATTGGCTTTGGCTGGGGTTTTGCTGTTCTCTCCAGTCCTTGTGCTGGATTGACCTAACCCTGAGCTAAGTAAATTGGAACCAGCTTTGGACGCTACGTCACAAAGCACACGCTCCTCCTGTTCACCAGCAGAAGAAAGCTGAAAAAGCATAAAACGTGTCCTTAGCCTGTTTCCTGAGAATAGCAAAGTAACAGAGTTGGAAGAGGCCTCAGAGGTCTTCTAGTCCAGCCCCCTGCTCAAGCAAAAGACCCTGAAGAAGGGTTCCTTGCTTCTACAATTCAATGCAGATGCCTTTCACTCTGGTGGAACAAGGTTTGCTCTCCTTCCATCTAAAGTCACCCACACATCTTGTGCTCCATATTGCAGTAGTAGGCAACATGTTGATGGTGAGGGGATATACTAAATATTTTAGGGGGTCTGAAAGTGGTGAAGTCATATCATAATGCAAGGTCAGGTTTGGGGAAGGAAATCGTGAACTTTGGGTTTTGTTTGGGTTGTATGGAACTGTGCCTAGATTGCAACTTTCCCGGATTTCCATGATGGGAAAATGTGATGTCAAATTTCTGCAGTCTAAATCCAAGGGACCTGGAGGTCACATGTACCCTCAGGACCAAGAGTGTCCACCTCTGTCATAAGAGATGAAACACATATTGATTTTCATTGCGTTTTTTTCAGATAGTGAAATCTTTATGGCCCTAAGAATTATTAATTTTCTGTAACAGGAAGGAAAGAAAGGAGGGAGGGAGGGAGGGAGGGAGGGAGGAAGGAAGAAAGGAAGGAAGGAAGGAAGGAAGGAAGGAAGGAAGGAAGGAAGGAAGGAAGGAAGGAAGGAAGGAAGGAAGGAAGGAAGGAAAAAACCCAAATGTAGCCAAGGGATTAGGTTGTAGACCACTACAACTCTCTTTTTCAGTTCCAGAAATTCTGGCTGCAAACTTTCAGAGGAGAAGGACACATTTTGAGTTATTGGTTGGGGGGGAGGATCATTCAACCCCAGTGAGGACTATACCAGTGGTGGCGAACCTATGGTACGCGTGCCAGAGAAAGCACTCGGAGCCTCTCTGTGGGCACACGTGCCATTGCCCCAGCTTCACCTCCCCCCATGACCCCCTCCTCACCAGCAGCCCCCCTGGAGGAAAGTTGCCCCTGAGTGTGGCCCATGCGGAGCAGTGCAGCCAAGGATATGGCAGCCAGGCAGCGTAGACAAGACTCTGCCCTCACGCCCCATTGCGCACAGTTGATGCTGCGGGGCGCAGGCAGAGGGTGTGGCCGCCATGGCATTGCTGGGCTGCCTGGACAATTTGCAGTGGGCTCTGGAGGCGGTGAGTGGTCCTGCAGGCAGGCGGGGTGGGGGCAGGGTGGGAGCAGGGTAGGGGATGAAGTGGGGGCGGGGCCAGTTTTTGGGCACTCGGTCTCTAAAAGAACCAGATGATGATCTCACATATTATTTCCAGTGTTGGTAAGATTTAGCTTAATCAAATGATAAAGTTGAAAAAAAACTTTTAAAAAGTGATATTATTAGATGTATTTCTGGAGGGGGTAGGATAAAAGTGGGAGCTTTGAGGAATGCTTTTGAAACCTTCAGCATTAAAGAACTCAAGAAGAAGAAGAAAAGATGGTCCCTCCAGCCAGAAGAAAAGAAGGCTGCCGTCTGCTAAGCCACCTTGCTGACCACACTGGGTGATTTTGCTGCCTGAAAGTTCTAATGCAGAACGAGGGGCCTTCATTTCCTCTCCTATCAATCATCCCTTTCAGGGAGGATTAATAATCAGCTGTTCAGGGGGAAGGGGGTGTAAGTAAATGCTTGGCATGGCTGCTGTAGCTTCCTGTCCTCATCTCCATCCCTGCAATCTGTTAGTTGGGATATTTCTTAAAATGGGTATGATGCTCGTCCTAAACCTATCACCAAATCTTAGCCTGGCTGAGATGCTTCAAGGGTGGAGAGCGGCATGGATGGAGGCAGGAGGACAGGAGAACAAGTGAGCCCCACCTCCATAAACGTTGCAAGAGAATGGCAGGAGAAGCAGAAACAGTCAATGACCAGCCGCACTTGAAAATGGCCCCTGCATTCTCCAAATGCAGTACAGGTTGTCCTTGACTAACAACCATTCATTTAGTGACCGTGCTAAACAACGGCACTGAAAAAAAGTGACTCATGCCTGTTTTTCCCACTTACAACCTTTGCAGCATTCCTACGGTCACATGAATAAAATTCAGACACGTGGAAACTGGCTCATATTTATGGTGGTTGCCGTGTCCTAGAGTCATGTGATTCTGACAAGCAAAGTCAACAGGAAAGCCAGATTCACTTAACAACCATGTTGCCAACTTAAGAATTGCAGTAGTTCACTTAACAGCTATGGAAAGAAAGGTCATAAAATGGGGGCAAAACAACTGTCTTGGTTAGCATCAGAAATTTTGGGCTCAACTGTAGTCATAAGTCGAGGATCATCTGTAACAATAAAAAAAAATATGCAGTGGGTGAAACCCTTAGCCAGTAACTAAGATGGCTTTTTAAATTATTGCCATTCTGCCTTTGAGTTGGTCCCTGCAGTTTTCTTGGCAAGGTTTTTCAGAAGTGGTTTGCCGTTGCTTTCTTCCTAGGGCTGAGGCTGAGAAAGAGTGACTGGCACAAGGTCACCCAGCCAGCTGGCTTTGTGCCTAAGGTGGGACTAGAATTCTCAGTCTCCTGGTTTCTAGCCTCAGAAACACACCAGCAAATTGGTCTTAGGGTGGCATAGAACTGTGTAAAAGACATAGATAAAATAAACCCAGTTAGGCATATATTTTAGTTAAACTTTTATTGGGGTGGGTTTTCTTATTTTACAAATTGAAGCCATGAGAGGGGGGAGGGAAGGAGGGAGGGAGGGAGGGAGGGAGGGAGAGAGAGGGAGAGAGAGAACTAGAGGAAGAGCTTGAATTTCAGTGAAGAAATACAGAAAAAAATGTAACATCTATTATATTGTGGATGAACATGACATCATATGGAGAATTATTCAAAATGATTGCTGTTTTGAGCAAAAATGCCTTGTGGGAATGTTGCTAACATCAGAAATTAAATTAAACCAAACCATTGACTTCCAAGCAGCTTTTATCTTTCAAGACAAGGTGTACCTGGACATTTGAATATACACATGCACATACTTCATTAATTTCCCATAAAACATTTTATGGAGTCTAATATGGTCTACCTCAGCTTTCCCCAACCAGAATTTCAAATTAATTTAATATTTGCAAACTGAGGATGTTAGATCATGACTTGCATCCTGTTACCTCTGGATGAGCAAAATTGTCCGATAACTTTGAAAGGCATTTAATTGCAACGGCCAGTCTATTTGAACAGTAACAACAGTTGTACATATTATTTCAATTAAATATGTTCTAGTACTAAGCCAGTAAAGCAGAAACCAAGCATTTAATAACAAGAACCTTTTTGCATGGAGAAAATAAAAAGTGAATTCAATTACCTGGCCTTATATGTATGTATATGTAGGTAGGTAGGTAGGTAGGTAGGTAGGTAGGTAGGTAGGTAGGTAGGTAGGTAGGTAGGTATAATTGAGTGGATAAGACTATAGAATCTGGAGCTTCTGACAAATGAGTTTGGGGTGAAATGAAAATGGATAAACAACAGAGATTTAATCCTTTTTTTAAAAAAAATTCAGCAGCCTACAAATGACAAATCAAAACAAATTCTTGTGCAAACTGCTATTGGAATGCAGTCAGCAAAATAGACTCTGTCTGAGTGGTCCATAGCCACCACTTCAAATCAAGGGAACATTTGGCGTGCAGGCCTCTTATATCAAATACGACAGGCTGCCTTGAAAGTTTGCAAAAAGTACGAAAAGAGATTTGGGAACTGAACTTGATGAATCAGCTTGGAATTCTTTAGAGCATGAAAGTCTCTTCTAATCTGTTTTGATGATTCATCAAGAATTGGCCATAAAAAACAATTCACAGATTATATTACTCCCATTCAAATTACATTATACTAAGCCCTTGATGTAATGTACTAATGGGGTGGGGTGGGGGGAGAGATGTCCACTGAAACCAAATGTCTATTAAATGTTAATTTGGGGGCCCCCAAAGGGACGTAAGTATACAAAAAAGAAGAAGAAGAAAAAGGAGAATTTGAGTTGCAGCTGGAGAGCAAGAGGCAGCACGGGTGATCACACATGTGGCACGATAGCTTGCAAAAAATGAGCTACAGCCAAGAGGCCACATGGTGAGTGAGGATCAGTACCTAGAAGCACTGGGGCCAGAATGATTGCACAACTGAGCTCTTCTGTGGATTGCCAACTAAGAGATGGCAGGGTGAGCAATGCATTAGGCACCAGATAGGGCCAACGGCAGCAGCTTTCTGGTTCCAACACATTTTGAGCAATTAATCCGAAGATTGCTAAATTAAATGGATGGTCTACTGGGTATTAATCTAAACTTTTTTTAGACTGTTCTGGAGGGTAGTGTGATCAAATAGTTACTAGAAAGGGCAATAGGTTTAACTATATATGTTGTCTTAAAAGAAAGTGGGAAAACAATTAAACCACCTTGGAAAATTATTCCTCTTGTAAGTTTATCTTCTATAAATCTCAGGACACATAAACGACTGCAATAACAAGACATTAGCTCAATTTCTTCCGTTACCTGTCAAATGTATTCTTGTTAAACTGTGCATACATCTTTCTTTGAATCAAAGGTATTTTAAAATGTGGCAAATTGCATTCTCTGAGAAATTAGCATTGAAGAGTCTTGGTGCATCTATCAACTGTAGATCGTCTTATTAACATCTTATCTCCATATTTTAATGTGATTATTATCAATTTATTTTCTAATAGGTTACTTTTTGTCTACCCATCCATCTTATGGATCTCAAATGTTCTTTTCTTGGTGTCCTTTATTATTGTTTATTATTTTATTACTGATGTCTGTCTGTTTCATTATAAACATAAAGAAAAAGATCTGCAGAACCTGGATACTTGTCTGGTCTTTTATATATGTTTGCAAATAATGTATTTCTTTAAAAAAAAGTGATATTCCCAAGTCACAAGAAAAGGCTGCCCATAATGTGGATTTAAAAAATGGGGTACAAGGGATGGGAGGCATGTGAAATTAACTATAGAGAAGAGGGGATGTAGGTAGGCTCATCTTTTCTTATTATTTTAGTAAGATGATAATCCTGAACAGCAGAGACTTCTTCTCTAGTCACCACCTGCCTTCAGGGTAAGACCCTTTCCTCCCATAGTAAATTTGTGGCTGCTTTTGGTCTAATTCCCCATATGGCTCAATAATCGTCTTCATTCTGTTGTGGTCTCAGTATCACACTGGGATAGGCTTTGATACAGGAGAAGGCTGTGGGAGGGATGCGGCGGCGATCAATCAAATTATGCTCCAAGCGCACAGACACAATGTTCGAGTCTTCTGACACTCTTGTGTCACAGAGTGAGTTCAGGGGCACATGTCTGCCAGAAAGAAAGAATAAGAACACATAAAGTATATAAAAAGGACTTATTGAGAGTTTTGCAGTACTTTCTGTAACTACTTATCTCAGTAGTCCTTTAATGTGGAGCAAGGTTAAAACCCTATTAAAAATTGGAGGACTGAATGGCTTAGCTAAGGCCCCTTAATCACAAGTTAGTGAGACTGGACTGGCTGACATTTCCTGGCTCATGAGTCATCTTAGAACAAGGTACAGCTGCTGAGAATCTACTCTTCCATAAGATGCTACTTTTGAGAGTTTTTTCTGTATAAGGCTCCCCTTAACTCTTCCTGGATTAGGTCAAAGTAGGAATGTTCAAACTTCTATTTCCACTGTGACCCACCCGGATACCAACAGAGAGGCAAGCAAGGTTCTATTGCAACAAAGAATTAGGAAGTCCACCATAATAACTTCATCTCTTTTCCTTGGGATCTCTTGCTAAGTAAGAAAGAATGAGCACATTTCCTGCATCTAAACTGAGTTTGCTGTCTGGAAGAGTTTAACAAGAGCTGTTCTGCTTATGCTTTGTAGGTATAATACAGGCTTGGAATTGCTTGAGTATCACTTAAGATTTTGAGGAGACTGATGCTGCTTCAAAAGTAACTTGTATACTACTCGCTTACTGCATGCATTCATAAATAAATTGACATGAAGCAGAAATGACCAATCACCAGCATTCTTTCCTACAGAAAAGTGAACTTGGTAAGAGTCAATCTGGGATTCCTCACCATTTGGGAATATGGGAAGGAGCATAAAACAGAGATGGCCAGCTGAGAGCTGTATAGCCCCCTTCACTTTTTCATTCTTTTCCACCACCTATTTCTTTTTGTATTCAGGGGAAGAGTTAACCAAACATGCTTAACAACATAGATGGTGCCTTTCCAATAGCCTCTTTTCCCAGTCTCCAGTAATGTAATTTCTCCTACAAAAAAGGATTCTTGTTTTACAGCAACATCTTGGCAGCTCCAGCCCCAAATCAGATTCCTGACTCATAAACAACCAATTACATATCCCCAGAATATGCCCAAATTACCCCCTTGTTTAAGAATCTTGTAATTACCCCCAGGTTAATTAATCTCCAGTTTAAGAACCTCTGCTTTAGGATTCTGGGCCTCCCTCAGCCAAGCAGCATGAGCATTATGGTTGAAGAGAGTTTGACACCTAAGCCCTTGGCTAATAAAGAGTATTGAGGCATACGGTCCCGGAACATGGGATCAAACCCAGTTTTGTCTTTGTCAAAGAGCTGCTTCTACTGGTAGGGTAGACATGCAAGACAAGTGTTCTTCCTGCAGTACTCAGATTACCCTTCCTCAAAGGCAACCAAGAGCAGAACAGAATCCCTTTACCGGATGCGGTTGTGGCTCAGCCGTAGAACCTGCAAGCCCTTTAAGTTGATGATGCCATGTGGGATGGCCTCGAACCGATTGTTGTCCAAGAGCAGTTCGGCAAGTGAATGGTAGAGCCCTAAGAAGGAGACGGCATGGACACCGTCATCCCGCAGCACATTGTGGGAGAGATGCAGGAATTCCAGGCCAGGCTTCATATGGGCAAAAACGTAGCCAGGGACACGTTCAATGCGGTTGTGATGCAAAGTCAGCTGTTTCAAATGTCGAGGCAGAAATGAGGGCACGTGTACTAAATGGTTGTGAGACAAATCTAGCACCTCCAGTTTCCTGGAAGTGAAAGAAACACAAGTGTTCATCAGGATTGCAGACCACAGTTATCACTTTTCACTTTTTCTGGAGATAAAATCCATATCCAGATATTTGGTCACATTCTACGACTGAGACGAAGAGCTCAAGATGGAACTGTGCCCTAGAAGTAAGGCTGAAGGGACATTGGCGCTCTCAGATGCAGAGAACAAGATCTTTTTAAATCTGTCTTAGGGATGGGTTTGCTTTTTTTCTATGCAGTACGTATGACATTTTACTCATTCTCAAAGGGGCAAAATAAAAAGGAAAGAACAGAAACCAAACTCTGTCCTTGCATCTTGGCCAGGACCTGAGGCTATGGAAAACACCCAACGTTTCCTTTCACTAATCAGTGTGTGTGTGGGGGGGGTGTCAGTTAGTTTCCCAAGTGGATTTGGAGCCACATCTGGTAGTGCCATTAGAGTTTACAGAGATGCATTGCAAAAGCTCTTTTCCACAATCATTGCAGCATAACATCCTTTCTAAAGGCAGACTGCTCCATCACTATAATGGACTTTTTGCTACTTTAAAATAAACTATCAGTAGAATCCTAGCCAAGGAACAGTTCTACACTCAGTCGAGACAAAGCAGGGCTATGCAGATTTGATGTCTACAAACATTTTAGTGGTTAAAAAAAAAAAAAACAGTGGATGTGAATGTTTATATAAACCCTTGAGCTAAACCCTCTCACTTGCTTTTCTTGAATGCTGTTTATTGTCTCTTTGTAGCTGATCTGCAGCTGGGTTGCAATATGCAGTATACAGCTTTCTGTGTAAAGGAAATAAATAAAATATTTATTATTATTTTTTACAAAAATAAGACTTCTTCCATTAGCAGTCCTGGCCTGCTCTGGGCTGATGATGTGACATCAAAATGCAAGCAATCAAATCTGGCCATGTGGTGATGCTTTACAAAATCAAGGCAGAGTGAAATAACTTTAAGTATGCTTTCTGACAGGACCATGTGGTCAAATGAGCTAAGGGAGGCTGCTGGCACAAAAACTGTATCAGAGAACACACGCACACACCCCCAAGCATTGCCAAAACACACACATCTTGGTGATGTGTGCTACAATATAGATTTTCATTTTTGTTTTTGTAGAACAACATGTTTTAATCATCTCGCTTTTGGATTGTTGTAATTATTTACATGGGATTGCCCTGAAAACCTCTCAGAAACCACAGCTGGTCCAGAAGTGGCAATGGGAGGGAGGGGTTGTTATGCCTCTGTATCCCCATGTAACAACTCTGTCTAAGAGCTGCACTGGGCCCTGGTAGGCTTCAGGGTGAGATTTAAGGTGCTGGCCATCACCTATAAAGCCCTTCATGGTAGAAGGTCTGGTTTCTTCAGAGTTCACCTGTCTTCCATAGCTGCTAGCCATCCTATACGATCTGGCAGATCCTGCATGCTCTGGGGCCCATCAACTAAGCAATGCCTCCTGATTGGATGCCTAAAGCAGGCCTTCTCCATTGAAACCGCCTACCCTCTGGAATGACATCCCTTCATACACTCACATCGCCCTCCCTAATCTTATTTAGATGAGTCCTTCCTTAAGACCCAACTCTTTTCCCAGACTGCAGTGGGTGGCAGACCTCTCTGGGGTGCCTTGTTGGTATGATGAGAGATGTGTGTGTTTGCCAGACATCCTTTCTGTATTCTGTGGAATACTGTATTTTAAATTTTGAATATTGTATGCCACCCAGAGTTAGGCAGCTTATATATTAAATGAAATGTTAAATTAAAATTAAATTAAAACATATGAGCCACAAAAAACATTGCTGTGTAAGATCAGACTGCATTGGACAGAGCTATCAGATCAAAGAAACCCACCCCATTTTACTCAGTGTAACAAGAGAGAAGGGCCGTAACATACCTATGTGGCAACTAGGGCTCACATCTATGACAATAGCTTAAACATAAGGCAGTGATGGCGAACCTTTGAGAGACCGAGTGTCCCAAAACCACCCACCACCCCTGTCCCTGCTCCGCCCTGCCCACTGGGCCACTCACCACCTCCACCGCCCGCCACAGATCACCCAGACAGCCCAGCAGTGCCATAGTGGCCACGCCCTCCACCCATGCCCCGCAGCATCTGCACATGATGGGGCGCAAGGGCAGAGTCTTATCCCCACTGCCTGGCTACCATGTCCTTGGTTGTGCTGCTTCAAGTGGGCCGCGCCCAGGGACAACTCTCCTCCAGAAGGGCTGCTGGTGAGGAGGGGGCCGTGGGAGGAGGCGGAGCTGGAGAGATGATGCGTGTGTCCACAGAGAGGGCTCCGAGTGCCGCCTCTGGCACCCATGCCATAGGTTCGCCACCACTGACATAAGATAACAGGACGTAACATAGCATAACACAACGAAATACTGCTGTTGCAATATGCTATGTTATGATGTTATTTCATACTGTGTTTTATGTCATGTTATTAACCTGGTATAATTTTTCATTCTAATTGACAACTCAGAAAAATGTAGGGTTTTTTTTCCTGTGATTCTTTTGAGAGGCAGTGAGTTTAAATTGGGCATTTGCACACTGCTAACTTTTCCATCACGGCTCCATCCTTCAGAAGGCAGCCCGTCACATCTCGACTTCTGCTGATCTCAAAGTAGATATATTTATGCATTTCGTCCAGCATTAGGAGCTGAGCCACATTCCCTCCAGTTAAACCAGAAGAGAGTACCAAGAATATCACTCGGTCAATGTCCTATTCTGAATTGTTCCTACTCTTGAAGTAATAAGCTCCCCCCCCCCATATCTTTCCAGAAAAAAAGGGGGGATTGCTAGCAAGCCTCATTTTCACAAATATTTGTTCTGCCTCTGCAGAACCCAAAGCTTTTATCCAAATGGCCTTTTGTCAAAATGAAAAAATCTGCGTCACACAAGCTCTGCCACTTTTATACATGCATGCAGTGTCATAACGCATACAGAAAAGGAGTGCAAGCAAGTGGTGCAACGCTGCTTTTGTCATCCCCCTTCCTTAATCCTCCTCCTCAAACCAATGATGCAACACCTCCTTTGTCATGTTATTTGCAAGAAACTGAGTCATTCTTATGTGGAAAAGTTTCCTGGTGGATCTTGACAATTGTTAACACAAGAAGTGTTTGCATTAGCTGTTCTTTTCCTGGCAGGACACCTACGTCTTTAATAGCTGTAGAACAGGCAGAAATTCATAGAAGTTACTTTTGTCTGCTAGTGCATGGAGGTTCAAAGAAAAAGAACAGGCAGTCTTGAATTTCTGATTATCATCACATTTGCCAGTGGAGTGGCAATCCTAGTTCAAAGGTAGTGAGTTTTAGCTCTGTCCCTAGGAATGGAAATGCTGTGTTACTCACAGGAGGTCAATCCAGGCACGTGGAGCAATGCGATCCTCTTGCAGCTTATTGTTGCTCAGAACCAGCACAGTGAGATTCAGAGTTCTGTTGAGGACACCCTCAGTCACCTCCTCAACGCGATTGGAATCTAGATGCAGCTCCTGGAAGTAGATGAGAAGATTCCAGACACAACCAGAAGCACCTCAGCCATCACCTTCCCTTTGCCTCTCCTATCCTGGTTCCCAATCTGCTCTGTCTCACTAGCTGACATAGATATGCCATTTAGGTCAAATCCATAGAGAGCACCCCCCTCACCTTGCAAGGTATCAAGCACAGAGGGAGACAGATTAAATGAGGCTGACCATTGATCTATTTCTGAAGGGAGCTCAAAGTAATATACAGATAGGAATGCAGATGGCAACCTAAAGTCCTCTCCTTGCTTTATCCTCTTATTGCTCTTTCTTTAAATCAGATTTGGGTAGTTTTTCAAACAGAGGGGTATGAAGTTGTGCCCTGGCAGTTTCCCAGTTAGAATTACCAAAAATCTCCTGAATAACCACCTTCAGCTCTTCAGAGCCGACATGATGAACCACTGATCTTCCAGATTCTGTTTTAAAGCCTGGGCTAGGTAGTCAATATTTTCCAAACCAAGATTTGGCAGTATATCAGTTACAGCTGTTGGGCTACTACTCCCATCACCTCCAATCTGTACAATGGAGATTGCAGTTCTGCATAACTGGAAGCATACCAGCTTGGGGAAGTCTGTTTCAGGAGTTACATTCTGATCTAAATTAAAGATGTTCTGCTCACCAGTAGAGATGCAGGCAAACCTGATGGGATAGTCCGAAAATGGTTCCGGTCTAGTCGCAGGTAGATAAGCTTGCCCAGGGGCGTGAAAGCAGTAGGGGAAACGTTGCCATCATGCAGCTGGTTTCCTTCTAGCTCCAAGGTGAACAGTTTGAAGAGGCCTGTGGAAGAAAGAGACAGAGGCAATGAATGCCTCTCAGAACTAGGTAGAACCACTTTTTTGAAAATGCACAGATCAAGTGGGAAACAACTCCTAATATATGTTTTACAAAATGCTGCTCAGGTTGACTCAGTGCTGCAATTGCAGTGATAAATAGGATATGGTATAAATCAGTGTTTCTCAACCTTGACAATTTTAAGGCATGTGGACTTCAACTCCCAGAATTCCACAGCCAGCATTGCTGGCTGTGGAATTCTGGGAGTTGAAGTCCACATGCCTTAAAATTGTCAAGGTTGAGAAACACTGAGCTAAATGGTAACACCTAGGCAGCTTTGGCTGATTTTGAAAAGCTTAGTAGAGTCAGACCAGATTACTATAAGACACAGCCAGAAAGGTTTTGAGCCGTAGGTTAAATTGGAAAGTGCAAAAAGCACTTTCCAATTTAACCTATGGCCTGTTGGAAGCAGGCTGTGGCAAATCACTTCAGTATTGCTGTCAAGAAAATAGATTGGATGTGCTTATGAAGTCTCAGAGAGATGTGCTCAACTTGAAGGTCTATGGTGATTCTCAGTCATCCAGATCATGGTTGTTTCAAGAGTGCTTTTTCAAAAGGCAACTGGACTGTTTTTTTTCATCAGTTCTGACTGATGAAGCTCTTTGGATGAGAAGTGAAACATCCTCAAGGAAAAAAACATAGTCCATCCAGTTGCCTTTTGAAAAAACACCCTTGAGATACTCAATTTGAAGTAGATTTTATAATTGGCATCTTTCTCCCTTATTGTAGAAGAAAGAACTCAGAGAGGAAATGATAGGTCTGTAAATGCCTTAGAAGACTTCAAATTGAAGAATGTCAAGTCTTATTCTCCATCTTTCCAGACATGGGATAATAGATTGAAGTTATAGGGAGGCAGATTTTGAAAGGGAAACAATAGCAGTTCAGCACTGGGACAAAATACTCAGACATAATAAATTCTCCTTCACATGTGTTTAAATGGAAGCTAGAAGCCATTTATTAGTGATGCTTTAATTTTAAGTTCCTACACTGATCCAAGGGTTGAACTTGATGGCCTATAACTCTTCATAGCCCTACTCTTATGTGTATCATCTTCTATGTAACCTACAGAAAGCTGGCAAAGGGGGGGGGGGAAACTGCTCAATTGTTACTTAACCCACCACGGGAAAACCCTTTAGAAAAGGGTTAAAAAGGAAAAGCTTACATTCCTGCTCTTGGTAATTTCCAATTTTGTAACAGAGGACCTGGCAGTTTTAAGGAAGAAATGAAAAAAAAAAATTTAAGTAACACAAACGACAATCTTGTTATGTACATAAGCCCAATTTCCAGAAGGAAATATGAAATAAGAACTATTAGAATAGACCATACTTTATCCTCAGAGATAAAATAGAAACAAAGGGCCTCTGTTAAGTGCAAACATAACAGAATTTGCTTGCAGTAGGTCCAATGTCTGTGTCAGCTTCCTGTTTACATACTGTTTATCAACTGGTAAATAAGCTGCTTGGAAAGCAAGCTGCACATCCAACATGGGAGGTCATAGGAGAGAAAAAAAAGTAGAACAACAAATGCTCTCTTAATTCTGGGATTGACTGGAAACCTCTGCTTAACACTGCTTGGATGAAAGGGTACGCTTTAATGTCTTTGTTGTATTAAAAAGACAACATGATGTTGTGATCAAGGCATTGGACTAGGGCCACGAGGACCCAACTTCAAGTCACTGTCTATGAATCTAACATATTGTACCTCCCAGATTTGGAGTTGTGAAGATAATGTGAGGTTTGAAGAGGATCCCTGTGCACTGCACTAAACTCCTGCAGGAAAGGTAAGATGTGGACCATAATAACAAAGAAATGAAATAAATAAATATGTACAGAACACAAGATATGTCCTTATTCTGGCTAAATTTTCAGTTGAGGAAATATCTTTTCTGTGCCTGCCCAAGTCAATGGCATTCTTTTCACTGCTTTTGTCTATTTGACTGTTCAGCGGTTTCAGATATTTAGACACGTGGATGCTGTTAGCAAAATGAGTTCATGTATAAGTCCTATTATATAATTGTTCTACTGTCTACATCTTGGTAGCACATGTGTTGCGTAATGTGTAAAACAGCAGAACAGTGATCTTCCCCAACGTCCTACCCTCCAGGTGCATTGAACTACACAACGTATCATCAAATAGCAGCATCTACAAAAATTTATGAAGATCACCATTGTGCACTTGTTCCCAAAGCCTGATGCAATTTGTAGCAACTGTGTGATGATACTGTCATACCAATGTTGTCATTTGTCCCCTACCACATCTCTAACGTAACTAGGAGCTCTGTTGGTGGTAGTTCAAATACATCTAGAAAATGGATCGATGGATGGTAGGATGGATCACTACTTCTGCATTTCTTTATACTTCAAAAACTCAAAATCAACAACAACCAGAGTTTGAAACTAGATGCTGGTTAGATCCCCACATGAAGCTAATTCATAATCTAATTTCCTTAATGTGGCTTACTTAATGTGTAAATCTAGCCATTACTTATGGTTTGTAAATGGTGATTTATGAATTAGTGTCTTGTATTAATTCAATCAAATCATGGATTTGTCAACATGGTTAAAAAGCATGGTGTAATACCTAAGTGGGTACATGTTCCATGGGACTATATGTGTCCCTGCACTCCTTTTTATAACCTAGAGGTGAAGGAATTGAGCAATTTTAAGGGACATACCTTTAGCAAAATATATGAACACACCATTGTAATCTCTAATTTTTTAGCGCAGTGTTCTTCTGGAGAAAAAGAAACATTATTACGTCTAGGACATGGCAGCATCACACAAATCTCTCAGAGAAGTGGATTAGTACACTAACCTCTCTGGCTAATAAAAGCTCTAGCATTTTGAAATGAAAGCCCCTGATTGCATGCAGAATTTGTCCATGTCCCAAGACTTTTTGCTGTTTTTGCTATCCTAGGAAAAGGCAGTTTGTGAGAGGTCTCATACCTGTGAAGCTCCGTCTCTGAAGTCCTGCTAAATTATTGTCATTCAGTTTAAGTTCATGTAATGAACTTGGCAAGGCTGGGATTAAAGTGAGCTGGTTCCCATCCAGATTCAGACGCTTCAGTTTGGTGAGGTTCTGCGTAGGAAGAAAGAGTATTGATAACAATAGCAGAAGAGAAGTAATTAATAAACATTCAAATATTATTGCCGTATTGTAAATAGGCAAGATAAGATTCAGTAGACGTGCTCTGAATGTAAACATGGAGCAGGAAACTGGGTCATGGGACTGGATTATTTGTGGCCCATCTTTTCCCACAAGAGGGGAGTTGTATCTACCTGTCTCACGAGATCCAGTAAGAGAGGCATGTTCCAGAACCTGTCTGTTAGGGAGTGTCACTTGGTGCGTCCCCAGACAACAGCCTTTTCTGTTGTGGTGCTCGCTCTCTGGAACATCACTGCCCCAAAGATTAGACTTGGCCTGAGCTTGCTGGTCTTTTGTAATGTAACCCACTAAAAACCTCCTTTTGTTGCTGAGCCTGGGGCCCAAGGTGGGTGGCTGAGTCCATCTCTTGGTTATGTTGACTATGTTCTTGGTTTTATATCAGCTTCTATATTTGTTAGTTACTGTTTTTCTATGCTTGTCTTGTCTTTATTCTCGGTTAGCCATGCAGAGTCATATGTCTGAGATAGGTAGCTATATAAATCGAATACATAAATAAATCAATCTCTGGCTAAGTGCTGCATTGCCTGCACCTTCAGTCTCACTTCGTGCAGAGCTAATTTCACACAGCTTGAAGAGATATCATAGCAAGTGAGACAAGGAGATATGAGATGGCAGGGAATAGCAGAGAGAAAGACAGTCTGGCAAAATTGCCACATTTTATTTATCTACAACTGTTCCCTACCCATTGGCTATGGCTTCTGCTTCACTTTCCCCATAGCGTATCTTCATATGGGGTTCCTATGCTTGATACAAGAACCCTTAAATTCACTCCTCCCTGGCATTTTCCCCTTGCCTTTCAAATAGCCCTTCCTCTCCAATTACCTTGAAGGCTTCTGGGTGCAAGCCAGCTGATTTCAGCTTGTTCTTGCTGAGATCCAACCATTCCAGATTAGGTAATCCCAAGAAAACTCCAGCTGGGATATTGTTGATTTCATTCTCTGGGGGGGGGGGAAGGGAAATGTTAAAAGGTTACTGTCTTAATTAGAGACTGTTTGAATTCTTGAACTACATGTTACAGTCAGCCAGTATTTGATTCCAAAAGAGGGTGAATGTGTAGGAGTTGCACAGGAGAGGGTGTTTTTTTTTTTAATCATCAAACTCACATGCAGCAACCCACAAGAACAATCTTCAGCTTTTTCCTAGGCTAAGCAGAAGGTGCTATTCACTCATCCTTGACCTCTACTGGCACTAAATGAGTTGCCTCCACAGTTGATCTCTTTTCTGCTTCTACCCTGATTAGGTTCATGCAGTGCATGGCTGGCAAAGTGATTGGTTGGGTCTTCTGGCTTTGCTGCCCACCATCTTCACCCTGTCACCAGCCAGCAGGAAAAATATCTGCCAATCACAGCACTGCACTGGGAACAGGATGTGCCTGATACCAACTGCCTGATGCTTGATTTGGCCCATTCCTTAAACCCCATTCTCTCACCTGACAAGTTCAATCAATTGTGACACTGCTCCCCCCCCCCCAAAAAAACCTCATAATAGTAAGAAAATTGCCACCTTCTCCTGGGAGAAAAATTATTTTACTCAGGATTCGTCCACCTTTCTTTTCTTTTTCTTTAGAGTCAAAATTCAAGAGACAACACTATTTTAACCTTTAACCCGATGCTCCCTGCCAGCTTCTCATAAGGAAACTCAATGAGGAAGCTGACAGGAAGTCAAAAGTCACTCCTACTCTCCTTGATTTTTTTGCCTACAGAGGGTCATTCTGTTTCTCTTTTAGGTAAGGAAATATCTCTAAAACACTGACCTCATGGTTCTCTAAAACACAGTGGCTAGTACCCACAATATGCTGAACCCACTTTGCATAAAACTTTATAACTTGGCACAACCAGGCTTAAATATGTGACTCCTTCCAGCACAGCACTTAGAACAGTGGTTCTCAACCTGTGGGTCGGGACCCCATTTGGGGCCGAACGACCATTTCACGGGGGTCACCAAACAACGCAGTCCGCCATTTTTTCCCCCTTTTCCTTAGCTGTGCTACTCCCTTTTATTCTATTGGCTTTTGAAAGCCAATAGAATAGACTCTCTTGAATAGAGTCTAATTCTATTGGCTTTCAAAAGCCAATAGAAATTGTCCAGGCTGTCTCTGCCCTGCTGAACCTGCCAAAAGTCCCATTCTGCAAACGGTGCTGCACCAGTTGAGTAGTCCTCGACTTACGACCGGTTGAGTAGTCCTCGACTTACGACCGGTTGAGGGTTGCAGCATTAAAAAGGTTGAGAACCACTGACTTAGAACAAAATTCAGCAGTAGAAATTGGATGCCTGGATGATTCAGAGATTCACCTGCCAGGTAGAGGGTTTTCAGAACAGAATCAGTTAGTTTGGGCACATATTTCAAGTGGGCATTCCCACAGGCTATGGCATGTTCAGACAGCAAGCAAGTAGGAGGCAGAGAAGGCATGGTGGACTTCTTCCTTTCTTTGGGCTTTACAGGCTGCTGTTTTGGTGAGCCTGTCCTTCTTTGGGAGACATTTTTATGAGGTAAATTTTGTCCTCTCCTAGTTTTTGATTGGGTGGTATTCCCCAGCTGAACCTGGACACTATTCTTGCTTTGAAAGCCATCCTCAGTTCTGGTCAGGGCCTGGTTGACATTTCTATGGGGAGACAGCAGTTCTTGGCTGGGCAATGACCAGCTTGCATTCCTGTGAAAAGGGCTCTGGGCCTTGTTTTCTGCTGCCCAGCTGACATTCCTCAGCTGGCTGCTGGGTCTTTTTCCTGGTGATATTCCACTAGCCTCCCTAAGAGTCAAACTGAGCTTTTTCTGCAGAAGGGGCTGACTAGCATTTTGTAAGGAAGTTGTGGAATCCTTTCTGTCTTCGGCCTGGCTGCACAGAGTAACCGATCCTTTTGCCAGCTCTGCCTGAATGCCAGTCCTCTTTTCGCCAATTTTCTGGAATGTTCTCTGCTTTTCTCCAGGAAGCCTTACACTGACATTTGCAGAGGGCGTTCCCTGCAATTTCCCTTTTGGGGGTGGGCTGCCATGCTTGTAGAGAAGCCTAGCCTCTTTCTCTCTGAGTGCATGAGTGCTGTTCCTAGTGCAAAGGCCACATTCCTCCCACATCACTGTGCAGTTGTCATTTTCCTTGAAAGTGCCACGGACTTTTCCTGTTGGTGACCTACTGATATTTCTTGGTGTGGAACGGTTCTGCTTTTGCAACAATACCCAGGTGACATTTCTGTCCAGAAATACAGGGTCACTTCTTTCTTTTATGCGAATGACACGTTTATAGACAGAAAAAGAGGGTATCCAGCTTTCATTTCTATGCTGAGGGTCTAGAGCTTGTCCTGTTTCCATCTGAGCCATAGTCCTATATTTGCGAGCATTTCCTTTTCTTGCCTTTTTCCTATGGATGGCAATGTTCCCCTGCACTGGTGCTGTTGTGGCATGATTCAAAATCAAACCTGAAGAAAAGGAAATGCACATTGAAAAGCAGAGTCAGACTGCAATATTTTGGAACCAAATAACAACAACAACAATAATAATAATAATACAAAAAGTTGGAAGGGGCCTAGGAGATCATCTAGTCCAACCCCCTGCTCAGGCAGGAAACCCTATACCATTTCAGACAAATGGCTGTCTAGTCCAGTGGTGGCGAACCTTTGGCACGGGTGCCAGAGGCGGCACTCGAAGCCCTCTCTGTAGGCACACATTCCGTTGCCCCAGCCTTGCCTCCCCCTGTGACCCCCTCCTCTCCAGCAGCCCCCCTGAAGGAGAGTCGCCCTCGAGCGTGGCCCACACGGAGCAGCGCAGCCAAGGACATGGCAGCCAGGCAGCGTAGACAAGACTCTGCCCTCACACCCCATCATGCAGTTGATGCTGCAGGGCGCGGACAGAGGGTGTGGCCGCCATAGCGGTGCTGGGCTGCCTGGGCGATCTGCGGCGGGCCCTGGAGGCAGTGAGAGGTTCTGTGGGCAGGTGGGGCAGAAGATGGGGGTGCAGAGCAGGGGCGGGGCAGGGGGTGAAGCAGGGGTGGGGCCAGTTTTTGGGCACTCAGTCTCTAAAAGATTCACCATCACTGGTCTAGTCTTTTCTTAAAAACTTCCATTGTTGGAGCATTCACAACTTCTGGAGGCAGGTTGTTCCACTGGTTAATTATTCTAACTGTCAGGAAATTTTTCCTTAGTTCTAGGTTGCTTCTTTCTTTGATTAGTTTCCATCTGTTGCTTCTTGTCCTGCCTTCAGGTGCATTGGAGAATAGTTTGACTCCCTCTTATTTGTGGCAACCCCTGAGATATTGGAAGGCTGCTATCATGTCACCCCTCATCCTTCTCTTCATAAACTAGACATACCAATTCTAGCAACCGTTCCTTATATGTTTTAGCCTCCAGTCCCCTAATCATCTTTGTTGCTCTTCTCTGCACTCTTTCTAGAGTCACAACATCTTTTTTACATCGTGGTGACCAAAACTGGATGCAGTATTCCAAGTGTCGCCTTACCAAGGCATTGTAAAGTGGTATTAATATTTCACATGATCTCGATTCTATCCCTCTGTTAATGCAGCCTAGCACCGTGTTGGCTTTTTTGGCAGCTGCAGCACACTGTTGGCTCGTATTTAAGTGATTATCCACTAGGACTCCAAGATCCCTCTTACAATTGCTACTATTGAGCAAGGTATAACCTATACCAGGGGTAGGCAACCTTGGCTCTTTTATGACTCGTGGACTTCAACTCCCAGAATTCCTGAGCCGGCCATCCCTTAATGAATTATCTCAGAACTAATTAAATACTGTCATCCTTGTTCAACATGGACATAGAGTGTAATTAAGTAGGCATTCTCCTCTAAGAATCCAGCATAGCTCTTGAAGAGTTCCAATGAAAGCTGCTCAGATGATTTTCCTCAGTTCAATCTTCCACTCAGCCACTCTAAATAGTCCCTGAAGTCCTAGAGCTGCTGCTTCATATACTGATAAATTTCTGTGATCTGCAGAGATTATTTCCAGCTTGTTGTCCAAAGAATTTGGATTTAATTGGGCTGTTTTAACCACTACCAAAATGGGAGAGGCTAATAGATACGAATTCTAACCAATTATTATGTACACAGCAATTATTTCTGGAAGATGCAGGCCGAGCCATCTATTAAAATCAAGACATCTTTGCAAATGAATAATTGGCCATGTGCACTTAGAGCAGCGTTTCTCAGTCTCGGCATATTTAAGATGTGTGGAGTTCAGTTCCCAGAATTTTCCAGCCAGCATTTGTGGGGACATTCTGGGAGATGAAATCCACACATCTGAAAGTTGCTGAGGTTAATACTGATCTAGTGGGCCCAAAGGGGCTATGGAGGGAAAATGAGGTTCCAAGCCCCACTCAACTGAGCCAGTTGCTGTTGTTCAATTTACTAACCCAACAGGTTTGCTATGGAAAAAGAATGGCAGGAAGTGAGGTATGTATGCCATCTTAAATTCTTTGGAGAAATATATATCTGCCGCCCGTAACAGACAGAATTACGAACGGGAAACTAGTGAAACATCCACTAACTGCAAGGAAAGGGGAAATACCCCAGCTAATTTCAGAACTAGCGAGAAAGACACACGTAACAGCACACGTAGAAGGAGTGAGAAAGAACTACACCCCGATGCAGGACACACACTTGGATTACAACGCACACAGCTGGGACCCATGACACGATCCAAGAGCCGAGCGCAAATGATTGGAGGCTGCATATAAGCCCTCCCAACGACTGCCGTTTACACCCTGATGATGTCAAGAGCTCTTGACGAAAGCTAGGTCTAGTAAATAAAATTTTAACATTTTTATAATTTTATTCTCTTGGTGTTTGACTATTTATTGATTTTAATATATATATATATATATATATATATATATATATATATATAGAGAGAGAGAGAGAGAGAGAGAGAGAGAGAGAGAGAAATGTGCTGGATCTTTGCCAGTTTACTATCAGCCACAAGGAAATTGCTCTTCCAAGGAAAAGCTGGGTGGGTGGTTTTTTTCATAGAAAACATACTTGCAAAATTCTTATTAGAAACTAGACAGTAGCAACAATCACCCATCACATTGCTGTGATTGTTCTGTGTTGAATTTATTTCTGATTCATGTACAAACAAGCCTCTCTCATTTATTTATTTATTTGTTAGTTTGTTCCAGTTACATAGCTGCCCACTTGCCAGGCAACTGGCAAGTCTAGATATATGAAATCATTTCCCCTTTTCCAACTAATTGAGCCCAAAGAACCAAAAGTCTTTGATTTTGTATTCAAGCACAATAATTAAAGCAGATTAGAAAACCAGCAGCGTCTTAATTATAAACATTAAGAGCCATTCAAAGTAGGTGACCACAAAATGCAATCTTTTGATGTTCCAAATCCGTGAGAACATAAGGAATCATATTTCAGGATGTGAGTGTGTGTGAGTGACTCCTGGCAACTGCCTGAATAGTCCTTGCATTTTTCTTGGAAAGATTTTGGGAGTAGTTCACTTTTGCCTGCTTCCTAGGGCTGAAAGAGACTTACTGGTCCAAAGTCTCCCAACTAGCGTTGTGTCTGAGGCAGGACTAGAACTTACAGTCCCCCAGTCTCTAGCGTGGTGCCTTAATCACCACACCAAACTGCCTCTCTAAATTCATTACCTTAAATAATAAATGAACTCCTTTAAAGATAATGGGGATGGTGGTCTTTAGCATTAACTACTCAGAAGTGAATCCCATTAAATTCTGATGGGTTTATTGCTCTAATAAGTCTGCTTATATCTTAAAATTAGGAGGTCAAGCTGAAAATAGGTTAACTGAGAGGCTGATTTTTTTTTTCTTAACAGCTTGTATTTCACTCATACCTTCTGGCTCGTATCTGCTTCTTGCTTGGGTGAGGCTGCTGTTGGTCTCCAGACCAACAGCTTCTGATATAGCGTGCAAGGTCCTGCTCTCTGTTTTCTTAACACCCAGCATTTTCTTCCCAACTCTGTCTCCTTTTTTCCATGTTTGGTCATCTTGATGGAGGTGAATTGGCACCTTTCTCTTTAAGGCAGTATTCTTCGGGATGGAAAGCTTCCTACTTCTCAGAGGCAGCTCCTTTTCTCCATCAGGAGATTTCACTTTAGTGGCAGCAGACCTGGGGAGCTCTAGAAAAAGAAGCAGGAAAAAGTGATTTCATTAAGGGTTTTTTTCTTTCTTTCTTTTAATATACCCTCTGCACTCTGTTGTTTTTATTATGCAAAATTAAGGTGGCTAAGATAGCCTTCCTCAACAAGGCACCCTCTACATGTGTTGGATTATGTCCCACCATCCCTAATCTGAATGCCTCAGAACAAAAAGTAACCTGGTTATGCAGAAAGGAACAGATTTCCCCCCCCCCCAATCTGCCTGGTTCATTAGAGGCAGGAAGCTGATTTTACTTCTGAAAACATGGCTGATCTTAAAAACACTTTCCACACACACACAGACACACACACACACACTTCTATGGGGAAAGCAAAACACATTTGTCATGCTGGCAGCCACTGGATGCTGCACATACTTTCAGTTTGCTGAGAGATAAGACCAGCATCTTGCCTGCAGGTTGGTGTATCTATACTGGCTGACACACTGCATTAAGATATGATTTGGTAAAACATGATTTGTTCATTATTGGTTTGTGATTGGAATCCAACCCGTGAATCTTGTCTACATGGCATTGACACTGGGTTCACTTATCACACTAAGCCATAACTTTGCTCACAATCCCTCTTCTCTTCATGATCTCTTGTCTGGATAACTGCAATGTGCTCTACATGGGGCTGCCCTTGATGAGCATTGGGAAACTTCCAGAATGCGGATGTACAGGTAATAAAAAGTGTTGAGTATTTGACACATGAAAGACCACTACTTCGTGAGCTGGATTGGTTGCCAGTGTGTTTTAAGGAACAATTCAAAGTGCTGGTTATCACCTCTAAAGCCTTAATGGTTTGGGGCCAGATTACCTAAGGGAGACTCTGCTTCCACTTGTTTCAACCTGTCCAATTCAGTGAGACAAGTTGGATATGCTGTAGGTCCTGTCAGCCAAGGAATGTCAGCTGGTGGGAACCAGGACACGTGCATCCTCTGCTATAGCCCCTGCCCTCTAGATTATTGACCTTCAGATATCAGGATAAGCCTAACCCTGTCAGCCTTTCATAAAGCCATGAAAACTTGGTTATGTGCCTGGACCTGGGGCCCTGAGTGTGTTAAGGTCCTCATTTCCTGGCTGTTTTAACATCCATTGTAACAGTTTTACTTGGCATTATATATATTTATTTTGTACTGTTTTAATAGTTACAATTGTTTTTATATTTCATGATATACGCCACCCAGAATCATTTGTTAAGGTGAGCAGCTATAGAAATCAAATTAATAAAATAAAAAAATAACAGTTTAATAATGGTTTGTTTAAAAAGCACAATTGCCTAGATACAGACATATTAAATCAAAACTAATCAAAACATGTTTTAGTTTTACATAATGTAAGAATAAAGAGGAAATAACTGTTTGATATCACTAAAAATGGATACAGAAATGGGGAGCTGGATCAGGGACCGCTTTTCTGAGTGGGAGGGACAGTTATGCTGATTGCTGGAGGAACTTGCTATTCTTCAAATTCTGAAAAAAAACCTGAATCTTTCAAAAATGCCATCAGACTCAGAATTCCTTTTTACATAATGAATCTCCTATACAACTGTTACCACAAGAATTTCAAGAGAACTTGAAGAGTCCTGAAAGATTATTTGGAAGAACATGGCCATTGCAAAGAATATCCAGAAGAGCTTTTTCTGATCTGATCCTTACCCAGATAGGATAATACCACTTTGGGAAAGGATGATCTAGAAGGAAATATAATTTGGATTAAAAAGGTCCTGTAACTTACTCCTGGACTTTTATTGCTGACAATAGAATCTATTATCCAGACAATTATCCTCTTTGCTGAATAGAGTTAAGTGGAGACTAGAGAGCCATTTGTCTGGGAAGCTTTAAATTTGATTCCTGAATTGAATGGAGGTTGGACTTGATGGCCAAAAGTTGTTACCCTTCCAGCAATCCCCAGAAATTTCTGGACTTTATTTACTAAATTAGTCCTCACATGATGGGACTGATCCAGAAACAATCCAAGCCAGGCATTGATTGAAAGTGGATGTAGAAAGAAAGCCAGACGTTTTTTCTTTAAAAAAAAAAATAGATTAACAAATCCAGAATTGTACTATTCTTTGGTTCTGTGCTCAGTTGTTGCTCAATAGTGATTGTATCCCTATAATTTACTGACTGCAAAATTAAAATAGAAGCAGTCGTATACCACATAATATAGAGCTATGAACCAACAGTGCCCTGCATGCTGAACTGGCCAATATCTTTGCATATTATTTAGTAACAAGTAAATTCTATTCAGCAGAATTTCTTGCCAATAATTAAATTCTTTTAAAATGTTTTATACTTTCTTTGCCCAGGGCTTGGTACTTTAACTGATGAATAGTGTGTTTCTAACACCATGAATAGCTTTCCTTAATTGTTTCAACATCAGTTTCTTTTTCCCTTGTGGTTACCAATTTTCTTGCATTTCATTTTGTATAACAAAGCAGTACCTTTTTACTTAGAGAAATATAAGGGGGGGAGGAAACCTAATAATTAGAGAAATGAAACCTATGTGACTAGTGGAAAGTAATAATGTGAGTCTATATACGTTTTCTCAGGAGTAACTATCACAATGTTTGATGTATTTTATTCCATAATAAATGGAATCTATAAATAAATAAATGGGTTTAAAATTTCAGCCTAATACTTATGCTATTCAAGAGCAATTAACAGGCAGTTTTTCACTAATTTTCACCTGCCATTAACGTTGGACTAGAAAATATGAACATTTTAATTTAAGTCATGGGAATTCTGTAAAATCTCTGGCAGCAACAAGTAGAACTAATCCTATGTTACAAGTGGAATCACTCTGCCATTTGATATCATAGAGCCGTCTTAATTGTTAGATTTAACAGATGAGTAGGCAAGGAACAGTGTGGATTGTTGCATCCAGAGTACGAAAGGGAGGAGCAGAAAGGATGGATGGAGTAGAAAACAGTAGAGCTTTCCCAGTTAGCTTTATCTAGAAATGGTGATTTAATGTGATAGACTGAAATAGCTTGATGGCCACCTATCTCACCTCCCCATTATTTTTTACACAACTTTTTTTCCTGAAGCTCCTCCCTTATAAAGATCCTACCATCCAACCCAACCTTTCCCATAACTCACCTTCCTCCACATTCTTTCCCAGGTTTAGCTCATTCTCCGTCAGCTGCCTTTGACTTTTCACTGGATGGGCTGACACCTCTAGAGAGAATGAGGAACCCAAATCCTCAATTGGATGTTTAGGGTTGTGTCTGACAGCCCAGTAAGTGGGAGCCCAGAGGACCAAAACAAAGAGGCCAAGGAAAAAGAACCTCATCGTGCCTCGACGCTTCTCAATGCAAGCCTGCTATTCTCTATGTTGGGATCTCAACTCCACGTATCATCCTGTACAGTGGGAGGTTTTATATTCTTCTTCCCCACAACTTTGATGAGGAGGAGGAAAGAAGAAGCCAAGCAAATGGAGCAAACACTCTGGCTGTCTAGAAGGGGCTCTGCCATTTACCACCAGTTGGAGATCTGACCTGCCTAATACAGGGGACTTTCTCTATTAGTCTTTGGCAAGACTCCGAGGTCTCACACATTCATGAATGCTGCTTCTATGAGTGCACACAGCCAGCTACTGTCCAGAAATCCATGAACTGTTTCTGTCAAGAAGCAGACTTGATATTCCCAGAGCTAAGCCAGCCTGTGTCTGCACAATGCTAAGGCTGTGACTACCGACATCCGCATTTGTCTCATCAAGCACCAGTGATAATTATTGGTCAAGCTTCATGCAGGAGGTGGAGCATTCATACTCTGCGTGTGTTTGGCATTGAACATCTAGTGGAGGTTCTCTTGAAGGAATCTCCCATACTGACGTAATGTATAAAGGTCAATCCATCTGTATCTCCTGAAGCAAGGAGATACCAGAATATGATTTTGCTTGGCATTTGGTATCCAAATGGAAAAAAGGGTGTGGCCCACATATAGTTATTTTGGACCTGTTTTCCTAGAAACTTCTGAGACATCTATTGAGTTCTATTGCCTAATTTGGTGATGGAATCTTCTCAGATAGCTCCTAATTTTCTCTCCAGTATTTTCCCATTTATATAGCTGTCTGAAAGGATAAAAGGGAAAAAAGAAGGCAAACTGATGTAATTAGGAAAGCAATGAAGTCTCCTGGGAGGAACCAAGGTTGAGGTCCCCTGTGTAGCACACATAACAATTCCTTTGATGCACACCAAGTTTCCACCCTTCCTTATTCCTGTTGTTGTTTTAGTATTTCAGAGAATGTTAGGTCAATATCTGTCACATTTTTCAGGGGAATGATAATATGCCATCTCTTGCATTAGGTGAGAATTACATTAGGACATCCAACTGAAGCAACCCCATGCCACCGAAATGTGCTTAGGTTGTCCTTAGCTGTACTGGCATTAAAATAAGATTCTCCCCCCCCCATTCCCACATAGTCCAAGAGCACTCCTGAGGTACATAAAATCTGTTAGGTTTTGTTATCAGATCTCCTGAGGGAAAGCAGGGGATTGGCATTGCCTGGCAAAAAAGATAATAAGATAATAATAAAAGTGGTTGCTGGGATAAGATCAGATCAGCAATGGGAAAAGCTATTTCATGAAAGCATATTTTTCTGCCAACTCAGAGATGGACAGACAGCACTCCAGCTCAACAAAGACTTGAATGCAGCTTTAAAGCAATCATATGAACTCATGCACTATCTAGCTCAGGGGTGGGGAATGATGGCCCTTTGGGTCATGGCTGGCTCAGGAATTCTGGGAGTTGAAGTCCACAAGTCATAAAAGGACCATCGTTCCCCACCCTTGATATGGCTAAATATTAAAATGGTTGCCTTTGCAACAAATATTTGCTTTCCTTGGTCTCATTCTAATGATGACTTTCTCATAATTTCCTTAATAAACATGAACTTTAAACTGGCACAATTGGATTTATGTAACATTGGGCTACCACATAGGGCTGATTTTTCCATGAAACTGGGAACCAAATTTTATAACCAATCCATTTATACCTGCAACCCTTTTACTCCTTGAGGAGAGATGGGTGGCAAATCAATCAAACAAACAAACAAACAATAGTTGCATACCCAAATGTTATTAAGAACGATGCATGAAGCAGATTTTTCCAGGTCAAACTAGACATGATTTCCTATATCTCTGTGATATAGAAAAAGCCCTGTTTCCAATGGCAGAGACAAAGAGCCATGTTTTGCTGCTTTTTGAATTTATTCACAAGAAAGTCAAATATAACTAGGGCACTTTTCTCCCAAGTCTCATGCTGCTGATCCCAGAGGAGGAAGTATCTTTCAGTCCTTCTCATTCTGCAGAATCTATGGAAAGAGGGAAAAGGACTGGCTTTGAAGGAATAAATTAATAATAATAATGCCTTTTCTTCTTGCCATCTGTCATTCCAAACATTTTTCTCTTACACAATTTCCTCCTCATATCTGAACTGAAAGGGGGAAATGGAATAGGAAAGACCTAAATCTTAGGTCTTGTGCAATACTGTACATTAACCATTTTCATAGAATGGACTTAAGGTTAATTATGGTTTACAGAATCAAACCACATTTTGGGTCCCAATACATTGGTATCTTGGTACTCAATGCTTTGAAACTCATCGACTTTGGTACTCAATGCATTTTGATGCAAAAATGTTATCCTGTACTCATTGTTTGTTTGATACTCAATGCATAAGCTAGAACTTGTCGGTGTTGACTACCTTGTGACTCATTACATTATTCCTTATGAGAAAAATTTGTTTGGTACTCATTGTTTCTGGTACTCATCATGCCTCCTGGAGCCAATTAATGATGAATATTGAGGTACCATTGTAATACAAAAAGCCGTCAGTCAAGGTTTAGAAAACACTCTGGATTGTTACATCCAACAGGTTAACCCACACCTTTTCAGCTCAGCATGTTGTATAAACTCAGATGTATATAACATACATGTGCATAACCAACCTGTCTTCTGCTCCCTTCATCCACCATCTCATCCTATTTTAACTCTCCATCAATTTGGCTATTTCATGCATCATGAAAGCTTGTGTCTTTTACAAAAATTTGAGAGTCAGAAAAGATCCAAGTCTCCTGGATTTTTGCCACCATAGACTAACATGGTTCCCCTCCTACAAACCCAACATGTGACTGAGTTCACAAATCACACTAACCATGATTGTTTAACTATAGTTTGTCAAATAAGCCAAAATTGGTACCTAGCAGTGGATGTTAAACCATAGTTTAGAAACCACAATAGTTGAATTTACACAATGTAAATCAAAATAAAACTGCTAAAGCCTTAAAATGAGGTCCTTCATCTTCGGCACAAAGGCTGCATCTGGTCCTAAAGTGTGGCATCTTCCAAAGGTTGTCATCAAGTTGTAAAAGAAGGGGAAAACTATTAGTTTGTGGAAGTAGTCATATTAATTTTAATTAGGTTTAATTTATATCTAAATGAATTATAGATTTCTATTGATTGAACCTGCATGTGGACTGCCATCTTCAGGAAATTATTCTAATCCAAAAGAGGCTGTTAGCCAAAATAAATATTATATGTTTCTGGCTTTGTATGAAGAACTCAGCAATATGATATTCAACTGTCTCCATGTTATGGCTGTCCTTGTAAACACCATAAATCCTAATAGGATTAGTTTTGTTTTGGCTTAATGTGTTATGGGGACTTAACCATTACAGTTTGTAAACTCTAGCTCTGTATGTTGTGGAAACCCAGCCAGCTATGATTGATTCAGACACCATAATTAGACTCAACATGGTTCAGTACAATATGTCATTCCAAGCTATACATGAATGAAATACATCAGTGTTTCTTAAACTTTTTGCTCTCAGTATCCTTTCACACTTTTAAAAACTGTGGAGAAAGAACTTTTGTTTGCATGAGTTACATTTTATTAAATGTTTACTGTATTAAAAAAATTAATTGTAAAATATTTATTGAATTATGTAAAGATAATATTAAACCATTTGGTATTAATATAAATACATACATATTTTTCATGAAAAAGCCTTATATTTTTTAACAAATAAAAATAATAATGAGAAGCCTGACATTGCTTTAAATTTTTGCAGAAGACTTCAACCTCTGGCAAATAATTCTGATTTTGTGGACCTGTGAGAGGTTCTTGGGGGAACGTCCTCAGACCGCACTTTAAGAAATTCTGCCTTTCATCATATCCAGTTACTGACTTTTAAACATTTCCAATCTTGGATTCCAATTCTTCTGATGACTCCAAAATCTAAAACTCAGAATCAGCTGACTGAGGAAGCCTGCTTTTTCCCCTTCCTCTATTTCCCAATTACTGGCTTGTGTGTATATGTGTAGAGCAAAGTTTGTGCCTGGGAGAGAAAAGGACAAATCTTTGGAGGAGGTGGTCACACGGCTGCCAAAGGTTTGCAACGTGCTTTTTAAAAGGCTTCTTACTCATCCTCAGCCACAGAAGTTGGACTTTACGCCAGGATTAAGATGGGGCTGGTACTAGGAAGGTACAAATCACTGAAGATTAGAAGGCACAGCACATTAAAACCATGACACTGCAAAAAGAAAGTATTAAAATATACCCATGACAAAGCAATTTTCCAACCGTACCCCTACAATTATATGGAGAACTTGGAAAAAAAACCCGGCTTACCATGCATGTGTGTGTGTTCTTTAGTCCAGTCTTCAGAAGACACAGTACTGAAAAATTAGAATTAGTTCAACATATATGTTATAGTTCCACAGAATGCAAGAAAATTGTGCAATGCATCATTGGACAGAGAATTTACAGGATCTGGGCTTTTTCATTTCAGAAAAAGAGAGATAATGCAAGTTTTAAGTTCCTGCAGTTGAGTTTCAGATATTTCACTGAACCATAATATAATCTGCCTTAGAAACCTCTGGATTATAGTTTAGCTTGATGAGGGAATTTAGCCAACTGTGGTTTATAAAAAAAAATAGTTAAAATATAGTGTGATATGTGAACTAAGGCAGTACCTGCTGATCTTAGAAACCTGCTAAGATGCTCTTCAGTCAGGGTAGATTTTGGTAACTCCAGTGATCCTTGTTCACCTTGTACACTAGAAAAAAGTCATTTATATTGAGATTAGTAGACACATCTATTCTGCAAAGTAACATAAACTGTGGTATTAGCTTAATCTGTATAATTTATCTATTCACAAAAACTACCTATTCTTGGAAATTATTTGCCTTGCTTAACAGGAAACAAAAACCCTTTTTAAAGTTTATATTTGAATTGTGTAGCTCAGTTGTCTGTATCTTTATTTTGAAGTGAGTTTTGGCAAGTTCCATTTGACAAGGCTGCAGGTCTATAAAAAGCAGGATTTTTTTAAAAAAAACAACAAACTTTTATTCTGAGCCAAGCTCATGATTTCAGTAATGCTCAACTTCTTTGACTGGATTGACATATTTGCCAAACCATAATATGGGTTGCTTGTTTACGATTCTGTGATCCAATTGTGTGGTTAAGCAAACAGTAGCTTAGCACAGCACAATCATTAAGTGTTATTAGGGAACTTAATATTCTGGGCTATTAATTAGCAAACTACTTAACAGGAGCATTATTAGGAACCTGACAATCCATAACTGAACTGTGAATTTATTTGGCTGCATACCTAACTGATAGCAAAATGGCTAACTTGTACAATAACTTTATGATCAAATACATGTAACAATAAAATGGCCAGATAGAAGTTTATTTATACATCTGTACTACAATCTGATGCCTTCTAGAAATCTTGGATTACGCCTGTCAATGGCCATGTGGGCTGTGAAAAATGGGAGTTGTATCCCAATGAATCTAGATTGTGCATGGTTGGATAGAAACCAGATTTCAATATAAGCTGTTGTATGAATATAGCCCACTTTGGGGCTAAATTGGCCATATTTCGTAAAACCATTGCTTATGATTTAGCATATTTGTGTGAACCTAGTCTCTTTCTATTCTGCATCTATTCAAATATTCATCTGTAAATGCCTTTCCCTGACCTTCTTACATTGTACTGGGAATATAAAAAGATGCCAGGACATTTGCATTTATTTGTCCATACAACTTTCCCTACCATATAATATAGATACCTATCCCTAAAATGTACTTTTTAATATACAGTTGGAATAGAGCAGTCATGGCGAACCTATGGCACGGGTGCCAGAGGTGGCACTCAGAGCCCTCTCTGTGGGCACCCGTGCCATCGCCCCAGACCTAGGCCTTCAGCTGGGTTTTATAAAACCTTTTCACTTTAGGCCTCCACTGCCATGTACAAAAAAAAGGTTCAATCAATCAGTCAATTTCAACTTCTTGAGGGGAAAAAAAAGATCTTGCAAAGTTGGAATTGATTGATTGAACTTTTTAGTCCCACCCAGTCTGCTGTTACCACCGTAACCATGCCCACCCAATGGGCCACACCCACCCAATGGGCCACACCCACACCCACCCGATGATGCATAAGTGGGTTTTGGGTTGCAGTTTGGGCACTCGGTCTCTAAAAGATTCGCCATCACTGGAATAGAGAATGAATTCACAAAATACAGAGAAAGATTCAATTCAATTGGCAGCCGTGTTCCATTTTGTTTAATAAGCATAAATTAGACCAGTTCTCTTAGTAGGGCAGGCCAAATCAACAACTCTGAGCTCCATTGCCTGAGGGAGAAGGCTTTGTAAGTTTTCTCCTAGGTTTTCTGAAGGGCAGTCCTGCCTTCTGAACCCATGGCTCTTGCCAACAGCAACTAGTCCTTGGAGGAATATTTGTCTTAAAGACAGTAAAACAGATTTGAAGTACGATGGGAAGGTGAATTAATAATGAGCTCAACTTTATTAATCGTTCTTTGTTCCAGAAGGCTTTAGAGCCAGTTCCCACCCCTTTCCTGTTTTTCATTCAACCTGACCCTGTTCTTCTGATAGAAACCATCTTTCCCATAGCTCTGGCAGCTGGTTCCCATTACAATGCCTCTTGAAAGAGCTGTTTTAAAATGCTTCAATGTAATTTTTGTCCAAATAAATTCATGGCATTAGGCATTGCCCCAGGCTCAGACTAGGACATTCTGGATTCTCAGCTTTATTGGGTTTTTTTTTTTCAAGGTTGTGTTGTGAGATAAGGCATCAGGAGACAAATGCAATCTCTCTTCCATCAAAGACAGAGCAGAAGCTAGCATTCTGAATTTTGGGTAAGTCAGCCAAATTGTAAACAAAGGAGGCAAACATGGGTGTTGGTTCTTTGAGACTGGCTGAACAGAAAGTATTTTTTTTTAAAGTACAAATTCACTGAGTTCTCTTTAGCAAGAGTTATTGAAATGGAAGAATGGTCATTCAAGAGTTCCAACACATGAACTAATTTTCAATTTAGAACCAGTATATCTCTGTATAAATGCCTGCCTATTAACTGATCAAAAGTCAGGGAGTTGTGAGCTATACAACAGGACTCTTCCGCTTTAACTCCCCTCCCATACTTGAAACCCTGAACCCCTTGAGGTCTACATAGCCGAATCCCCAATATCATGTAGAAAAGCAACCAAAATGACACTGTTGCACTGACATTTTAACCCAGATAAAGATAAGTAGAATATATGGGTGAAAGCTTTTTTGTCTTTTTCTCATAACTGTGCTCTGAAGTGGGGCAGTTCACCGATAATAAAGAAAGATTATTCAGTGAAAAGATCCTGCCTTGAGCAGGGGGTTGGACTAGAAGACCTCCAAGATCCCTTCCAGCCCTATGATTCTATGTTAGGTGGTTAACCTAACTGTTGCTTAGTAATAGTAATGATGATGATGATGATGATGGTGATGATAAAGTTGGAAGGGACCTTGGAAGTCATCTAGTCCAACCCCCTGCTCAGGCAGGAAACCCTATACCATTTTGGACAAATGGCTGTGCAGTTTCTTCTTAAAAACTTCCAGTGTTGGAGCATTCACCGCTTCTGGAGGCAGGATATTCCACTGGTTAATTTTTCTAACTGTCAGGAAGTTTCTCCTTAGTTCTAGGTTGCTTCTCTCTTTGGTTAGTTTCCACCTGTTGCTCCTTGTCCTGCTTTCAGGCGCTTTGGAAAATAGCTTGACTCCCTCTTCTTTGTGGCAGCCCCTGAGATATTGGAACACTGCTATCATGTCCCCCCCCCTCATCCTTCTCTTCGTTAAACTAGACATACTCAATTCCAAGAACTGTTCCTTATATGTTTTAGCCTCCAGTCCCCTAATCATCTTTGTTGCTCTTCTCTGCACTCTTTCTAGAGTCACAACATCTTTTTACATCGTGGTGACCAAAACTGGATGCAGTATTCCAAGTGTCGCGTTACCAAGGCATTGTAAAGTGGTATTAATACTTCACGTGATCTTAATTCTATCCCTCTGTTAATGCAGCCTAGCACTGTGTTGGCTTTTTTGGCAGCTGCAGCACACTGCTGGCTCATATTTAAATGATTGTCCACTAGGACTCCGAGAGCCCTCTCACAGTTACTAGTACTGAGCAATCGTATCAGTCTGAGAACCCACTCTTACCCACCCAAGGGTAAATAGAGAAAGGTGCAAAGCTGTAAGAATGCACTGGGAATTTGTATCCTAGGTTTTCTTAAGACAGGCAGCATCTCAAGCAACATCCTTCCTCTTGGTACCTTCAGACATGCTAGACCAGCATCTTACATGACTTGCATTGCAATATTTATAAATTGCATCAAGCCAGGCAAGATTAACTTAAATCCTATGGACATAAATAGAAAACATTTCATAAAGTTATTGTGGGCCTATATAAAGATTAAAACCCATCTGTCTCTTCTAACCATACCTATATAATGCTACTCCTGTATAATTAGGGAGCCATACAAGACAGTGTACAATTGCATGGTGAGGCAGAACAGGAAGAAAGTGGGAGAAACCATTCCTTTCCAGAGGATCATATTCTGGTATCATATTCCAGTCAGTAGGAGCTGGATATCTAGATTACTGCCATTGCAGAAGGCCAGCTCATATTACCATCCAAAGCCAGTGCTTACAACATAACACTCATTCAGATTAGTACTGCAATGTTCACATTTTCTTATAATGTGCTATATTCTCTTACTTCTTTTGCTTACTATACATGCCAACTAATCAACAATTGTCCTTCTAGCTACTCAATTGTTGTCCTCTCGTGTACTTCATGCTTCATCTGAGAATGTGTCAGTCCTGAGATTAATCCTCACCATTCTCTTTCTCATCTTGTAAAGAAAGAGAATAAAAAAGAATACAAGCTGTTTGCCTCCTCTCCTTCCTCTGGGATCACCTGTCTACGGTAAATATAACACCTTTGAATAGACTCTGAAGATGGGAAAAGAATATTGTACTATAGAATAAGAATGCAATGGACACATTGTCAACAGAACGATTAAGGAAAGAAGATACATTGGGAGATATCTGGACATCTGAATGATACTGCAAATATGCTTGTTCTTAAGACATTTTACAACATAGAAAGAAATGGCAGTGTCTACTGGCTACTACATAGCGCTGGCATGATTTTAATGTCCACGTTTTTATAAAAGGGACATTGTGGTGACATGGTCAAATAAAATCCAGAAAGTTTCTTATGCAATTGTTTCATTGAGAGAAGCCTAAGTATTTACTCCTTGGCCTGTTTTTGAGCAGAGAGAACAATCGGGTTGTTTGCTGCGATGCTCCCCAGATAATGACCAAATGCAGAAATAGCAGTTCCAAAACTCATACAGGCAAGTGATTGGAGAATTCAAGAATCTAGAATGACTCCTCAGAAGTATGGCTTCCAGAAGCTCCTGGCAGCATAGCCAATGGAGTTAATCAACAGCCAATGAAGCCACAGATTCCCCACCATTGCTATAAAAATTCTTCATCATTGAGTTTGGCTGCTGGTGGTTTCACAATTTTCTTGACAGCAATACAAATATTTGCCATTTCACTTACTTACCCTACAGCCTTTTTATTTCCTGGTAGCTCCCAATTATAATTATATGGATTTCTGGCTATCACTGTCTTCCATTTATTGTTGTGACTGAGCATTTGTTAGTGCTGGTGACTCTGGGCCTGTTTGATGAAACGGATTGTTCTAGGATGGTTTAC